AAAAAAATGGCAATTGATTTCATGATAGAATAACAAAACGTCTGATGTGTCGTGGTTGAGTATACGCATCGAGTAGAGATATCGCCTATCCGATTACAGGCTGTAAGAAGATTGAAGACGACCGTGTTGAATTTATTTTTAGCAATTGCCATGTGTGCATAGGCAATCTTTGTAGTTGTCACCGCAAACTACTAAATGTTGGAAGGTGCTCCTGGATGTTTAATTTTGGTGGAGTCGCCAAGCTGTGTTCGCACATTTCGGTCATAGCTAATAATGCCCCCTTTTAGGGCGTAATGGCAACGATTGATAACATCGAATCTCCGCGATCCCCGATTTGGCCGTATCAAATAGCTTCGCGCGACAACATGATGTCCCCTGGCAAAGGATATCGCCGCATAAGTCGGAGAATTACATTCTTTCGTAAAAGAAACCCAGCCCTGCGATTTCAATGGGAAAAGAGCACAGAAAAACTAGCACCATACTGTCCACATACAAACCATATTCTGGACCTGGAAATACCTTATTAAGTCCAATGCTACCTTAAGACACTGTTAACACAAATTGAGTCCATTTTCATGAATTGGAGGCTACAGGTGCTCCAGATACATGAGGCACATTTGGTCGCACAGCGTGTTGGAAAAATTATGCCGGTAAAAGCGGAGTTGTTGGCAAAAAAAGGTCAGAACAAACTACTATACTGTAATAGCGTGGGAAATAATATGGACCTTTTGATTATTTACACAATAGGTAAGTTTATGACGAATGTATCCTTAAAAGGCTATGCCCCGTAAACCTTTGTTTTCAAAATAGTCTTATGCGCATGGACAGTAAAGGTCGAATGCGCATAAGTAATTCGGAATCTTGTTATATACAGTAAAGTTGAGTAAAATTATGGCATTCGCATCTTTCTGATAAAAACTGGAAATGCCGCCGAAACTCAAAATGGCGTACCGTGCTCCTTCAGTTTCGAACCATTTTCCATCTTGCAATAGTTTATTCTCTGACTAGATAGATTCTTCTAAAAGCAATTTAGGAAATTCACCAACAATCATAGAGAAGTCGACCATCGCAGCTCTTTGAATGCCTTCGTTTCCAGTATGACATCAGCTACCGCCAAACTTTCGACCACTTCTCAAAAGCAAGGACATTCCACACTTACTTTATCATGTTAAACAATCGAGTAACACGGCACGTCAATGAAGCCTGACGATAGCTTAAATATCTAAACTGGCCAAAACCGTGAAAACAGCAGTCGATGTATTTTAGAGTGTCAAAATAAAAACAGAACTAAGTGTATGCAAATGAATACACGAGATAATTAGGTTTGACTAACCGAAAGATTCCCTCAGCTTTGGCACCGTTAAGACGTAGCAGCTCCTCGGTGAGAAAGATCTGAATCCACGGTAGACGGAGCGAAGGAAAACGACAGGATTGGATCTTCATCATCTCCTCCAAACTGCTCCCAAAGATGCCTGGTTTGAGGAGGAAGTCCTGAACACGAAGTAAAAGGTAATCTTTCAAAACTATCAGATGAGCGACAAGCCAGTATTGCTACTGCTGGTTAAAAGGCATGGGAAATGAAATACAAGTTGGTATTATAGCATAAC